CCCAGTGCTCTGGGTTAAGACCCTCCAAGGTGGCATCGGCCCCTCAGAAGCAAAAGCAGAACCTCTCCCTATGGTTTCCCAGCCCCCAGTGCCTCTAACTGTCAAGCTGCAGGGCATAAGTATTTCCATGGAAACCAGGCAATGTCCAGAGCCGGCTGGTTCCATTTCCCCGGAGAGGGAAGTTGCCTTGGATTTTGCTTCCAGCAGGCAGGCCCTTGACACACTTTCAAGGCAACTCTCCGGGGAGTGTTCTGTAATATCTGGCACATCCGTGTTCAATGTGTTGTCAGAAGTATTGTTCGCTGCTTAAGCAGTCCTCAGGACCCACGTGGGAAATGAGGGAGCTGTGCTGTGACAACCAGAGCCGGCCTCACAGAGCCCCTGGTTCACCACTCGACAAATGGAAAAACAGGGCTGCAGCATTTTCTTCCTGGCCACTCAGAAGCTGCTGCCCAAAAGGTGTGATGATGTAGACATTGACGGCCTGACCAAGTCCCATGGCAGCATTCTGAGTACTAATTATGTCACAATTTGGCACTGAGAGACCCACAATCTTGTTCTTTTTCTCACTTTGCTTTCAGTGCCATCTCTGGCTGGTCTCTATGTCCTCTCAAGTCCATCTCCTGCCTCATCACTTCCTCTCTATTCACTCTGCCTTGAGCCCCATCTCCCCAAGATGACAGAGATGGCCAGCCTGCAGCCTCCAGCCTGTGGCCAGAGATCTCTCTGGAAAAAAGATCGAACCATGTCACACTCTTAATTTCAAACCTCCAAGGTATCCTCCATGCCAACCACACGTATCAGGTATGAAGCCTGTCTGCTTGCTGAGTGTCACCTCCGGAGCCAGCGCTGGCATCACTTTCACCCCCTGCCCGCTTCCTTATGCTGAGGCCACAGCAAACCACCAGGTATCTGCCCCCTGACCTCATTCTGTGCCTCAGTTCTCATTTCTCCCGGCTCTGAAAGGCCGTCCCTCCAAGATCTCACATGGACTGAGAAAAATTGCCAGAGTCTGCATTTCTCAGGGAAGACCACAGTTCTCAAATGGTAGATTCCATTTATTTCCAAACACGATGTTTTCACAAAAGTATAAACCATAAGTGTGTTCAAACTTTGGCTTTTACAACCATTTTCCAATTTGCCTGTTTTACACTATGGTTTTCTTGTACCTGAGCTATGCAACCTCTCATTTCCCTACCAGTTTAACAGGTCATAAAATAAAGATTTCATTATACAAATAGATAATGGGCCTCCTAGGGAAAAGAGGGGCTTTGAGATGACAAAGAATTATTACTCGATTATTGTTGTTATAATTAAAAAAGAAATATTTAAAAATATATTGCCATTTACTGTAAATATTTCCAGTGAGTCCTGGAAACTCCAGTTAGGAAGCTGTGTGTGTGCGTGCAAGCACACGTGAGTGTGTGTGGTGGGGTAGGAGAATGTGCATGTGGGGGGTGGTGGTGATGCAGGTGTGTGGGTACGTCAGTGTGTGTTTAATAGGGTTTCAGAACTTGGAGAGAGAGGTAGAAAAGGAACTTCTCTTTGTAGCTTTTCCCAGTTCTATCAGGCTGAATTTATCATTTCCTCGTCTATGTTTAAATAAACCACTATTTTAATCCTTGCACTTATCACCTTACCTGATTCTTCCATTAGACTGAGCTCCTTGAGGCAGGGATGGGATTGGAGGCGGAGAGGGCTGGAGCGGGGCCCTGTATGCCTAGGCCCAGGACAAAGTTTTGGTTCAAAGGTGAATGGAAAGGTAACATTCACCTCTTTCGTTATAAGGCACAATGCTTCAAATGAGGGCCATGTAGGTAAGTAAAGGAGCCAAGCAGTGCGTGTGGGGAGACAGTAGGGAGTGGCGGAGACTGTGGCAAATGGGGAACACACGATCCCTCTACAGGGGCAGCTGCTACTCAGCTCCAGCCAACTGTTGTGTAAGGGATGCAGAGCTACTGTTCCCCAACTTACCGCTTTCTCCAGAAATGCCAGATATTGAGATTTTAATGTAAAAACCTACCAGTTAAAAAAAATTGTTGACTCAAATCTTAAAAAATACTACACTGGCCAAAGCAACACAGTTGCTGGTCAATCTGTCCTAAGGGCCTTGAGTTTGTGACTCCAGTCTCATGTGGTGCTACCTAAGCCCAGTACTGGATATACAGTGCTCGCTCCTGATGCTCACGCCCCTCAGGCTAAGGGGCCAACCTGGGGGCTGCCACCAGTCTCCGGACATGGGAGGGCCCAGGCCTTACCTTTCCCGGATGAATTCTGACATTTCCTTCTGCATCTGTTTGCCCTTCAGTTGTTTCTGAAGCAGCAGTTCAAACCCAGCCACAGTGCCATTGCCTTGGGGGTCCTTCTTATCAGCCTGGAAAGGAAACAGAAGCAGGAGAGTTTAGGTGATGGCTGGAGCCACAGGAAAGGATAGACAGAACCCAGAAGGGACCCAGATGTACTTGGCAACTCCAACCTCAGCCGAAGCAGGAGGATGGGAGCAGCAGTCTTGGTTGCCCCAACTCGTGTCTCTCCTGGTGCCCCTACTCCCATGTGCTCCCTGATGCCTAAAGCCCTTACGGCTGCTGCTACCCCATGTCCGTGCCCCTCAACCTCCTAATCTGGGGAAGAAGTGGAAGGTCAAGTGGCCAGGAGCATAAGTTCTGATCCCCAATAGCCTATTACTTTCCACCAGGTGGCTGCTGAGGCTGGCCAGACTCCCTAGGGAGCCCCGACTGCATGCTGAGACAGTCTGTGACCTTGGGGCATGTGCCCCTAACCCTGAGCCATCCATTTCCTGTCAGCTTCTAGCACTGGACAGGCAGTGACATCATCCAATGCACGTTCATAAAAGATCATAGTGGCTTCTGGGGAGAAACTGGATCGAAGGGAAATCAGAGTGGAAAAGGGCAGGCTGCCAGGGTTAACGTCCCAGCTGGGGGACCTCAGGCAAGTTCTTTAGTCACTCCAAGCCTAAGCCACTTCATCTGTGAAATTGGAGAAATAACGGCCCCCACCACATATGGTCATTTTGGGATAAATGACATGTGGAAACGGCTTAGCACACTGCTCAGTATATACTAAGTACTCAATAAATAGTATCGACTATTAATTATTTTTAAATGAAAGGACTCAGAGAAGATGGCCAAGTCAATGAAATGGATACTTAGAATCCAATCCATTTTGCAAGCAAATACTCTTAAAATTTCAAATTAAGTGCTTTTGCTTCATTTTGCCTCCACTTCCTCAAGAATGCCTGAATACCTCTTCCCTGCCCTCACAGCCATGGCTGCTGGAGAACAACTTGCAGAGCCTGCTTGGGCCCTGGCTGGCAACTCCTCCATTAAAGCCTTTCCCCACCGGGATCCAGGGTCAAATGCCTCTATACTTAATGGAAGGAGTTAAAAATACGTCCTCTGACATCACAGAGAGGTGCAGGTGCAACGGTGAGAAGCCTGGTCTAGGGTCAGCTCAGCCACTGGGTCATGCAGTCAGGTCTTTCTAATCCTAGGCTGCATCTTCCCGCCTCCCACCCCTTGAAATAGGAGTGGGTTGTACCAGTAAGATCCCTTCCAGAAAATGTTTCAGACAGGGAATGGAAAGGGGTTGGAAGCCTGGAGAGAAGCCCACTTATCACTGTCAAGTAGGTGAAACGTTTTACAGACACCTCCTTGCTCCCTCCCGATGTGGGATCCTTTCGTCAGCTGCCCTGAACCAGGACCCTCTGAGCCACACTTCGGTACCTCTGTGACAGGGAGAGCCCCACCACTGGAGTGCATGATGTCACAGTGGGGCTGCCCTTGCTGTTTAAAAGTTTCTCCAAGTATATTTAAGATTTGTACATTTCATTACATGAAAGCTGCATCTTGATACAAAAGCAAAAGAAATATTATACACAGTACTGAGCCCCAATCTGCTCCTCTACCCCCGCATAGGATGGATACACTGGAAAAAAACTGGTATGAGGCAATGGGCTATAATGGCTGCGTTAGCAGAGAGATTTCTATTAGAAGAAAAGGCCTTGATGGTCACGGAGATAAAACCCTATAGAAAGTATCAGAGTCCCAGGAGAGCTAGAATTAAGATGAGAACCCACAAGTGTTGAGTTCCTGGATGCTGCTGAGCCGCAGCAGGGTCACATGCTCCCCGATACCCCCGCAATACCCTGTACGTTGACCTCCAGCTCCTGGGTGCCCATTCCCAGGCCTCTTGCTCGTCCCTGAACAATAGTTCCTTCTTTAGGGTTGACGTCTCCTAACCCAGCTCCTTCTCTTCATCTCCACGCTGCCATGATCCTTCGTGATGTCCCACAGCCACCTGCTTAGTTGGCACCCCTGCCTACTCACAGTCCTCACTGCCCAATGCATATAAATCAGATCACATCACATTTCCACTTAAAACTCTCCGATATCTTTCTACTGCAAACAGAATAAAACCCAATGTGCTTACAAGGCCTCTGAAGTCTTTTACATTCTGACCCCTGTTCACCCTGGCCTCTGAGCTCAGCCCCTTGGTATGTCTGATGCTAAAGCCAGAGCTCTTTTTATAATGTTTGCTGCCTCTGCACAGATCTCAGATCTGGAAGAAACACAGCTGAGCCATAAGACTTGTCCCTACCAGGGAGAAACAGGAATCGCTGGATTATCTTCTAAAGCACAACTGATTCGGTAGAAAGAAAGAAAGAGCTATTGTCCAGTAATCGGTTAGCAAACCTAAAAAAGGATAGGAGATCCATTCTGCACAGTGGTGAATAAACACTTTTATTTATTTATTGTTTCTCTGGTTCTTTGCAAAGTGTTTTTTTTGTTAGTTAGTTAGTTTGTTTGTTTTAAGTGTACAATTCAGTAGTTTTTAATCTATTGACAACGTTGTGCAACCATCTCACTAGCATATGATTCCAGAATGGGGTGATCTCATTTTGAAAGTCATTGCTGACTTTAAAACGCAAATGTCCAGGGCCATTCCCAGAGTTTCTGAGGAGGTGAACTATGCATTCGTCAAGATATTTAATTGTAGAAAAACACACATAACATAAAATTTACCATCTTAAACCATTTTCGAGTGTACAGATCACACTGTTGTACAGCCATCACCACCACCATCTCCAGAACTTTTCTCTTGCGAAACTCTGTACCCATTAAACAATGTGCAAAAGTCCTGGAATGACAGAACTGTTAAAGCTGGGGCTTTCTCCAGGCCCTTGTGCCCAACCTCCTTGTGACTTCAATGGAAACAGAGAGGCCCAGTAGGTGAAGCACTTGTCCAAGGTCACCTAAAAGAGTGACAGAGCAGGTCTGCAGCCCAGACTCCTTTACTGAAATTGATTCTAGTCTCTTGCCTGAGCAGCGAAGAAAGTGACCCTCCAGCTTACCCGCTTTCTAGCTGGGGTTTCTGTATTGCCATGAATGAAAACCCTGTTGATTCTCTGAGATTTATACAACGATCTGGACTCCAAGAGGGCCTGAAGATCCTGCCTCAGGGGCTAAACCTACTACTTGGTCCTTTAGGTTTCAACAGGCAAGATCTCTCTTCTCTGAGCTCAAGGCCCTCATGCCCCTCCTGCATGTCGACTTCTGGTCCTCAGGGCCACGGTGTAGGGGAAACTGAGGCACCACTTACCCAGAAATAGTCGCAGTAGCTCCATTCAGTTGGTTTCAGCAGCTGCTGTTCTGGCATTGTGTCTGGGTGAGGGAACGTCACACAGTTTATCTGTAGGGCACAGAACAGGGGGAAAAATTAATTGGCTGGAGGGTTGGGAGAAGCTGAGAAGGCTTTGCTCCTGGGATACAGCACTACAGACATCTGCCTTTAGGATCAGCCTGGAGATGCTCCAGGGGACAACATTTCAAAGGAAGGGCGACCAGCACTCGCACCCACCCCAGAGGGTCTGGCTTCTGTCCAAAGTCTCTGGAGGACAGAGTAACAAGATCTATCAAAATTGCAAACACCCAGAGCTTTTGACGCAGTGATTGCGCTCCAAAGAGTCTGTCCTACGGATATACCTGCACATATGGGCAGTGACATACAGACACAGTTTTTCACCACAGAACCATCTACAATAGCAAAAGGCTGGACACAACTCCTTTGTCGATCGGCAGGGGAACAGTAAAAGAAACTACAAGAAGGGCATCTACGGGAATCGTATCCACAATGAAAGGCACTTTGACAAAGTTCTTATGGGTTGATAAGGAACGTCTATCAGGATAGACTAAGGGGGAAGGAGAGGGGGCAAGGTGTAAAATAGTATTTACTGTATGCTACCATTTGTGTGAAAAAGGTGTGTGTGTGTTGGGGGGGGTACACACACATTGGTTATTTACATATAGAATACTTCTGGAAGCTGATGACATCATTTGTTTCCAGGGAAAGGAATTATGTGGCTGAGGGTCAAGGGTGAGAGGTTACCTAGGGCATTTTATCTCATAAAGTGTATTCTATGGACAAAGAGAGGTTAAAATTGTAATTTAGGTGTACTCTGAAGCTAGCCCTAGCCCAGGAGACTGCAATGCAGACATTTCTGGGGATCTGTCTGACTTTTCTGCCCAAGCATACCCCTGGTGGTGGAAGTGGCTTTGCCACTGCTCCTGCTGATGTCCCTTTAAGCCCTAGATCCACTCCCTTGGTGCCGGCTAACCTGTGTTCTTTGTGGGAGCTGCAGAGTCTCAGGGAGGCAAGGCCTGAGCCCTGTCAGTCTTTAACCCCTCATCGCAGCCCTGGCATCTGCTAAAGCAGGAGGTGTCACATGGTCAAGGCAAGAACAATGCAGAAAAACCCTGAATTTTGAGACGAAGGCCACGAACTCCAAAGCCAGGCAGCTCATGCAACAAGTGAGGTGCCTGCATGTCTCAGAAACTGCAGCTTGAGTGTGGGGAGGGTGACCAGCCTCTGCTTCGGGAAGGGGAGGGTGTCTAAGGGGCAGATTCCTCACAGTTCGCGCCAACTGCTGTCAAGCCAGAATGAGAAATCCAGTGCCGTCAGGTCATGTGATGACTCAAGAGAAGTAGAAGATTGGGATTTTTATTGAAGTGTCTCAATTCTGAAATGTTGGCCAATTTAATAATAACAACAACATCAATAACAATGCAGTGTAAGCCAAACCAACTCCTCTGCCAGCTGAGTCAGACCCATGGGCTCCTAGCCGTGACCTCTGGTTCAGGGGCTCGAGGGTGGCTGGAAGGAAATCTAGGCCTCCCTAGCTCCCAGGGGCACAGGCCTCATTTGCAGTCCTGGTAGGAGAACATGGGAAGAGTCTAGCCAAGAAAAGGAGCCCCCTCCTCTTGGATGCTGACATTTGGCTGAAGTCAGGGTGGAGATCACCACTCTGGAGGGACACATGGCACTATAGGAAGGATCAGGGCAGATAGGCAGCACCGAATTCCATCAAGGTCAAGATGAAGGCCTAAGGGACCCACCATGGGTGAGGAGTTTTTTCTCAATGAAGTACCCACAGCCACTCAAGGTGTCACTGGCCTGCAGGAGCCTGCTTGCGGGGAGGGCCAACCTTTCAATGCCCAGCATCAGGGAACGGTCTCCCAACCCCTCTCTTTGGACTGACACCACAAGGTGTGTCCAAAGGTGAGTTTCCTTCAGGGCTCTGACGACTCACTGTGGTGTCAGCCTCATCTGCAGAAATCGCAGAAACAAGGGATGGAATACAAAGTCTCACACAGTCCTCATTTCATGCTCCAGCTAGTCGTGTCAAGAAATAATGATGATCACAGTCCACCTTTATTTTGCTTAATAATGTAGTACATTAAAATTTCAACTAAACTTAACGATAAATTAACTATGACATTATATTGGGCAATAAGAATCATGGACCTAGAAGGCTGAAGGCACTCAGAGTGGTGTTAAGTGCCCTGTCAGGGGTCTGGAAGGTGACAGGTCCACAAATGGCCCCGTGACAGGCACTGAAAGAGAGCTAGCTAGGATGGGAGAGAAGGGGTGGGAGAAGAAAATACCTCATCCCCCCTTGTGGCTTCTGCCACTCTGTAAGGACACCAGTCCTTGGGGGTACTGGTCAGGAGCCCCAGGATGGCTGTCCCTGACTGTCACTATGGTTTGGGAATTAGTCACTGCCAGCTCTCCTACAGAAATTTCCCTGAATCCCAGAGCCCTTCACCCCCTGGTGGGTGCCTGGAGAACTGCACCTCGCTGCACACCAGGAGGCAGCTGAATCAACTCGTGGAATTCCTGGGGAGTCCTTACTCAGGCACCCTGCCAAAAGCTTTGCATGCATTCTCACTCCATCTCCCCAGCAACTATGTGAGCTGGGTAACATTGGCCTCATTTTATATGAGGAAACCAAGGATCACAGAAGAATTTGAATCCTGGAGGGCTGACAGCAGACCCAAGCCCTCAACCACGATGCTCCTAAGTGGGAACACTTGCTTGTCTACTTTCCACGAAACCGTGAGCTGGGTAACATCGGCCTCATTTTATATGAGGAAACCAAGGATCACATAAGAATTTGAATCCTGGAGGGCTGACAGCAGAGCCCAAGCCCTCAATCACGATGCTCTTAAGTGGGAACACTTGCTTGTCTACTTTCCACGAAAACATTTGTTGAATGGCTACTCGGTGCCACGCAGGACACTAGATCTTCCCAGAACTTTGCACACGTACACCTGTAATTACACTTCTTGTGATTGTTTATTAGCATCTCTCTTCCTTGCCAGACTGCTCCATGAGAGGAGGAAGACCACTCTTTGTTTCCCTGTTATGCCTCTACTACTTGACAGCATAGTCGCCTGACGAGTGCTCAGTAAATGTTTCTTGCTGCAATGACTGAAGGCTAAAGATAGAAGGTATCATCTGTGCCCTCAACAGTTTTACAGCCTTGTGAAGGAGGCAAACGATAAGTTATTGCAATACTTTGGGATAAATCTACCCCTGGGGTAAGCCTGGGGTACTGGGGCTCCAGGAAGGGGAGGAATCTCAGAGGGAATGATATTAAGGCAATAAGAGTAGGATTGAGACAGTCAGGGGGCTGGGAGGTGAAGAGTGTTGCAGGGAGGAAAGGAGCTCAGGGGTTCGGGATGCACTGCAAGGTTGGGAGCATGCTGCTCTGTGTGGCTGGGGCTCACGGTCAGGGAGAAGGCGACACTGAGGCCAGAGGGGGCCTTGCAGGAGTGAGCACCTCTGGCAAGGGAGGGATGTGACTGGGTTGCTACAGCATGAAAGATGCACTGGACGGAAAATACAGCCAACCTCAGCCCCTACAGGAGGCTCCAGTGACCAGGAAGCGTGACAGTGGCTCAGAGCACTGTAGTAAAGTGAAGGAGCAGAAAAATGTGGGACAGACTTTGCAGACAGACTTCACAGTACCATGAAGTTAACTCACTGACTGTTTACCAGGGGTGACTCTGACTGCCCCCACCACCCCAGGGACATTTGACAATCTGGAGGCATTTTTGGTTGTCACAACTGGGCGGGGAGTGGGAAGGTGAATTTGCTACTGGCATCTGGTAGGTAGAGGCCAGGGATGCCAGTGCACTGCACAGGACAGTTTCCCCTCCACCCACCAATAAAGATGTCCAACCCAAAATGTCAATAGTGTCAAGGCTCAGAACCCCTGCGTTAACTGGCCTGGGTGGACAGGACTGTTTTCATTCACTGGAAGAAGAAGCATGTGGGTGGGGGATGGGGGTTGATTCCAGGGAGAGGGGGGCTGTGGCAGGGGAGGAGGATGCTGAGAGCTGTGATGTGTGCTGATGTCCTGAGCATTTAGAGCCGAAATATTCATTGGCAACGACCTAGTTCAAACCCATGCACAGACAAGTCCCTTGCCCACTATCACGCAGCTAAAAAGTGGCAGAGCAGGGTCCAGACTCGGTTTCCTGGGCTACTCTTACTCTCATCCTGTGCTTCTATGACCTCAGGCCTCAGAGTCAAAGTTCACGTGTCCCTGGATCAGAAGGTCTGGGAAAGGACAGGCTGCCCCAGGCTGACCATAGGCTCCACCCAGTAGGGCTCTAAAGTCTAGAGAGGGAAGAAGGTGGGAGAGGCCTTTCCCCAAGGAAACCTCCACGTGTGGATTCCTGGCCCCTCCTGGGTGACATTTTTCAGATGATTAACACCACCTCTGCACCTCTGGGACAGAGCTTGTCCTCCTCCCAAGGGCACGACAAGAGCCTTGATCCCATGCTCCACCTGGTAATCACAGGGGATGTGCTAAGGGAACCACCTTCTGCTCTGACAAGAGTTAATAATGTGCCAGCCTGTCCTAAATGCTTCACACATATTGCCTCATCTAATCCTCACAGCAACCTGCCAGGCAGGTGCTATTGTTACCCCCATTTTACAGATGAGGAAATGAGAGCACACAGAGCCGTTAAGTAACTTATACAGGATCCCACGGCTTGTGTAGTGGTGGAGTCAGGGTCTGCACCCAGGCAACCTGGGCACTTAACCCCCGTCACACTACCTTTCCAACACGCTGAGGTGAAGACATGCACCAGATTCCTACCTGACGCAGGGGCTCAAGTTGGAAAGGGTGTTCAACAGGGAGTGGGGGGAGGGGAGTTATGCCTCCCAGTGTGTACTGTTCCGAAAAAGGTCCAGGAGCCACTCCCACTCTCACCTGCCCTGAGATCACCATCCTTAACCAGCAGCATCTTCACTCTGGCACCCTCAGATAAATGGAGTGAACCCACCCCCTCCCCAACAGCTCGTTGTGCAGCTGAAGTTCTTCCAGAGCCATCCTGCACAGGGGCAGTCAGAACCACAAGGGCTGCCCCCCAAAACTGGGGAGTTCTGGAGGGGCTGTAGCCACCACTAAGGAACCTGGCCATGGCATGAGAATGGCTGAACACAAATGTGACCCACCCAAGGGGCCCGACCTAGGGAGGCCCTGAACACACTCCCATCCTGCCCCCCAATTCCTGGCTCCAGGCCAGCACAAATGCTGTGCTGGAGGGCAGAGGCTGCAGCTCCTCACCCACTTATCTGGCCAGCGCCTGTGCACAGAAGAGACAATGGCTTTACAACCAAGCAGGCCCTGGATTTTCTCCTGGAGGGAGGCCTATCTGGGTGGGGAAGGGAGGGGAAAAAGTCAGAGCTGGGTCTGTGAAAGCAGGAAATAAACAATCCCAAGGGCACGCCTCCAGCCCATGAGCTCCCTCACAGGGTTCCAGGGCCCCCAACAGGCCACATCAGTCCCAGAATTCCTCTTTCCAGAAGAGGAGTGTGGCTGGTGGCTTTGTTGCCATTTTCTGGAATCCTCTAGATTCTGACACATCACGTTTATGCCAAGGACTGTCACTCTGATGAAGCAGCTATCTCTATTATTGGCCAAGCCCAGCACCCCACTACACTTGTTTGCCCTTTCAAAACTCACTCCAGGCCACCAGTGGGTGGGGAAGCTGGAGAGTCAGAATCAAGCTCAGTCCTCACTGCTCAGCCTCACCAAGAACCAGGCTGGCACCTAGATGCACCCCTCTTTCCGGCCCAGGCCTGCAAATTTCTTTGGGATCATACAGTGTGGGATGAGCTTACCCCAACCCGACAAGCAGCAGAGAGGTAGCTGTGCCTCAGCCTTCTGGGAGCCTGGACCTCTTCCTTTCCCCAACCTGAGTGGCCCTACAGTATCTCCTCCTTGTAGACCATGAGCTCTGAAGGATCAAAACCCAGAGGAAGGGGCTGTGCGCAGGGAGCACAAGTGCTGTGTGCTGAAGGAGAGGGCGGCACACAGAGGTCTCAGCCATCTCCAGCCTGGAGACCTGTGGGGCACCTGAGTGGGCAGCTAGCAGACTCAGGTCCAGTCCGGGGCTTTGTCCTTCACTCTCTGCTGCTGGACAGTCCCGACCATCCTCAGTTTCTCCAGCAAGTATTTACCAGGGCTTGAGTGTTTACTTAAAACTCTGGGAGTGTTGGTAACAATGCAAACTAGAGAGATGCACTGTAGGTCTAAGACTCCATGGAGAATCCTGCATTTTAAACAAGTATTCCAGAGGCTGCAGATGCTGACTACACTTTGCGGACTAGCTAGTGAGAAGAACCGATTTAGGTGAGTGGGAAGAGGGAAGATGCCCAGGCAGAGATGGACAAGGTGAGATGTCCAAGGAGACCCTGGGACACACCTGGCCCACTCTGACAGATCCTGAAGCTCTGGCTCAAAGACAAGGCAGAGCAAGTAACTCAGGCCCCATTAGGTGGCCTGGGCACCATCGCCAAAGCCCTTTCAGGTAACTCTGGGAGGACTCACGCTCTGCTTTTCACTTTTCATTTCTCCTTTTTACTTATCTTCCACAATTCTAATATATACCTCCTCTCATGTGCTCCCTCTTTCCTCTATTTCAGGGAACTCTTGGGAGCCCCAGCTTTGCTCCAGCACTCTGGGGCATTCTGTGGCCATTTGAAGATGAGAACTGTGCCCTTGGGAAGCCTGCCCATATCCTGCCCAGTCCCACCAGCTCCAGTAACAAGGAAGCTGCTGCTGATCCCATCCACTCAGGCTGAGCCACCCTGCCACACCCTCAGGAGGCAACTTCCACCAGGTGCATTGCTGGGTCTAAGAGCACAGGTCTGGAATCCTGATGGTTTCCAGCTGTGGGGCCCTGGGCAGGGTAGGACTCAGTGCCTCAGTTTCCTCATTGATAAACAGGGTGACGAGAATATGAGTGTGCACTGACTGAGCACGTGCTTCTCGCATATGGACTCAGTCCTTACACTGCTTCTATGGCACTGACATCCACCATCTCCTCATTGAACAGACGCAGACATTGACACACAAAGAGGAAGAAAAACTTGCCCCGGGCTGTTGCACAGCCGACAGGTGCTGTAACTGGCTCTCTGGCTTCAGAGCCCAGATTCACAGATCGCCATAGGACATCAGTCCTATCACCTACACCTCACACAGTGAGTGGAGAGTTAAATGAGCCACCAGGAACACTACTTGTGCATAATAAATGCACACAAAAGAGGCAGCAATTATTGTCATTTTTTGCTTCACTCTAAAAAATATAGCAGGACTTATCAGCATGCATGAGCCAGGGAAGTGCACCCACTCTTGGTTTTATCTCCGTGGGGGTGGTCAAAATGCTCAGAACTGTGTGTGACGGAGCCCGAGAGAGCAATTCTCTATTCTAAGCTCTGTTGCACTTGTGTCAAAATGGCAAACCTAGGACCACACTTCTCATGGCTCCAAGTCCTTGGCTGTTTGAACTGGACAACTAACTCATCCACCCACTCAAGAGAGGACAGTGACGTCCAGCACCCACTTTCCCCAGGCTCAGGGCGGATGGGTCAGGGGGTGGGGGCGGTCCTTTGCAACCTGCACGTGGGGGCTTGGCGGGCTTTTGGAAGAGCCCTAGGAAGCAGTGTGGCCACTTTAGGCAGAAGCTGCCTGCTTCCTGTCAGGAACTCCCAGAACTCTATTCTTAGGATGCTTTCTCTTTGCCTTTAACTTTGACACCTTCCAGAAGTTACCTTGTACAAAGCAATCCTGCTGTGGCTGTAATTTACACGTCACGTCACTTGTCCACCCCCTTCAACCTACTCCTGCTGCCCTGAAAAATGGCTTCTGCATCATTCCAACCACCATCCTTCCACTCATTCCTCCACAGAGAAAAGTGAGATGTGAAATCGACAGAAGGGGGGACACCTAGGGGGTAACTTCAACTACATCCAAGCTTTGGAACTTCCCAGATTCCAGGCTGGGCATCGCTTCTACTCAGTCCGCGTTGCCATGGGAACAGCCCAGCGGTAACCAAAAGCCCCAGCTTGCCACCCAACCTGTCAGCACTCGGCGGGAGCCACTTACCGTGATGGTGTTTTCCTTGCTCTGCTTTTTCCCTGGTGACGAGGATCCCAGGTTCTGGGGAGAGAGACAAGAAACATCGTCAAAGCTGTTCTCCATATTGGACACTCTTTTCTCATTCGGGTTCCCTGAGGTGGTGGGATTGGTTAAAAGCCGCACACTGGTTCTCAGCCTGCAATTAATTCCTAAGTCACCATATTCTGGGAGAGGGCAGGCGGCGGGAGTGCCCCTGACCCCATGCTGCTCCCGTGCCCGGCTTGGGCTTGAGGGAGAGCTGGGGGAAGCCTCTAGCACAGGCTCTGAGAGAGCTGCTCCAAACCAGCCCGCCTCTTCTCTCAGGCTGCGATCTGGGAGCTGACCCCTCGGCTGCCCTCTGCTGGTAGGTGGCTCCACGTGCTGCTTGCTGCCTGAACCTGCAGAACCCACTGGGGAGTAAAGAGTTAAGGTCGACTGCAGGCCACCACCCCCTGGCACTGAGGATTCAGAACAAGACATCTTAATCTGAACCCTCGGCTCAGATATATCAAAACCTATATACGTGCCATGTGCACTGGGGCGCTCAGCTACTTCCGCACCTTGCGGCTCTCCAACCCTGAACCGTGTTTCAGCTTCCGTTCACATTGAATTGCCTTTTTATGTCTTTTCATTGCTGGCGAGAAAACCATAGTCCCAAGTACCTCCGAGCCCACGGGCCCCCAGCAGCTTGCCCCAGTCCTAGGACAGTTCTGGTACAGAAAATTAAGGATGGCCAGCTGAAAACGCATCCTGTGAACCTGAAGGGGAGGGTCAGTTCTGGGTCTTCACTGTCCCACTAGCAGCGGTTACATTAGGGATTAACAGGGTCCCTGGGCAGGACAGGTGATGTCCATTCCTGTCCTGAGCCACTGAGCCACACAACGGCCTGGGAAGTAGTGCCCCTAAGGCACGATATGTGGTTGTTTTATGTGAGTCTTTATTCATTCTCTAGCAGGATATAAGGAAGTGATTGTGAGGACTTTACAGATAAAGGCCCAGGAAAGGCATGGAGGGACTTCTCCAGCAAGCCTCAGGGACCCAGCAGCCCCCCAATCCCTGGGCCAGCACAGCCCTGCTCCACCGGGCAAGAAGAAAGTCTAGGGGTGAGGTCAGCCCCTGCCTCAGGAAGGTATCTGCTAATCAGGCCACACAGGGAGCTGGACTGAGTCCTGGAAGAGGTCGCCCCACTCCCTTATTCTCATATAGACCTACTTTGGCTGGTAAGTAAAGTCAACTACTGAAAACCAATATCCTAAGGCAGCCTAGATAAAAAGGACCTCATAGATCATCCAGGTCACAGACAAGAAAGTGAACTCACTGGCCCTGACACCCTGCGAATAATATGACTTCTTTGAGCCTTAGTTTCGCCATCCGTTACCAGTGGACCTCAAGCCTTGGAGTGTATCAGAATTAACTGAGGAATTTGCCCCAAATCGAGTTCCAGCTGCATCTCTCAGCTTCTGATCCAGCAGGCCCCAGGCAAGCTAGCGGCTCTGAGAAAGAGTCTGGGAGCCTCCCTTGGAGGTACACTGACCTATGTTCTGTCATTGCATTGAGGTTCCCTACTTGCAGCAGCTCCTATAGCAGCCCTAACAGGAGCTGGAGCAATGTCTTCTGTAGATGTTTTTAATGCATGAACTCGTCTAGCCGACCTATCCTGGACCCTCTTGAGTTATCAGTTCCATCCTAGTGCACTTGCCAAAACTGGGCCGCACTGGAGGAAGACAGACAGAGGCTGCGGGGCATGAACTCAGGCGCCAATTTCCAAGGAGAAGAGACAGGCACAGAGCTCTCACGAAGGTTCATTCAGTGGCCAAGCAAATACAATTGACTGTTGAACAACACAGGTTAGAACTGCATGGGTCCACTCATGCATGGACTTTTTTTCACTAAATAAATGGTCAGCCCTCAGTATCCTGGGTTTCACATCCTAGGATTCAACCAACAGCAGATCAAAAATAGTATTTTCAATCTGTGTCTGGGAATCCATGGATGCAGATAGTGGGCTGAATGCATCGATCTATTTCATATAAGGGATTCGCACATCTGCAGATTTTGGTATCCACAGGGGTCCAGTACCCAATCTCCTACAAATACTGAGAAACTGTAGTTAAGTTTTGGGGGAGTCAAAAGTTATATGCGGATTTTGGACTGCACAGGGGGTCAGCAACCCTAACCCGCCCCCGCCCCCCGTTGTTCATAGGTCAATTGTACATGCCTGGGAGGGAAAAGGGGGAAGGGAAGTCTCTGAGATGGATTCTGCAGTTTGCAGGAACACAGGGGGTCAGCACCTCTAACCCCCACCTCCCCCGTTGTTCATGGGTCAATTGTACGTGCCTGGGAGGGAAAAGGGGGAAAGGAAGTCTCTGAGATGGATTCTGCAGTTTGCAGGAGCCTCCCTGTTGTTGACATACATCACCACCACTACAGTGCTCCCATTCCAGCCCACCGGGAAGGACAATCGGCAGCTGATGATGATGATGATAAGAAGAAGGACCATATATCAATGCTGATGATGATGGTGATAAGAAGAAGGACCAGGAGGATAACTATCAGAAGAAGAAAGGTCTGCGAGAGCTCCTGCCGCCAAGTGCTTGCTTATGAGGCAGACATCAGGTCAGGCATGTGACATACCTCATTTAATCCTCACAACCCCAGCAACTTGAGTGAAATCAGCTCCATTTTATAGATGGTGAAACTGAAGCTTATAGAAACAAATTAATTTGTCCAGTGTCACAAGGCAAGTAAATAGAGGATAGTGGAACTCAAGCCTGAATAACTCTTCTCTATCTTCTGCCATCTTTCCACTTTGAGACCTGAGACAATCTCTTGTTTTACAGATATCTCTGCAGGGATCAGAAAAGATCTCCATCATCCACAAATATTAATGCTGGAATCTCCATGTCCAAGGCTCTGTAGGATGAGGCTGGACCCAAAGGTCACCCTCCTCCCTATAACCTGGGTCAATGCAAATAATGGCACTGAGGGTGGACAGTCTAAGTGTGGGTGTCAGTACTTTCTTATCTCTGCCCTACTAGCTATGCAATTTCAGCCAGTGCTGAGCTAGGGCAGGGGGGTGGGGGGGTGGGGGGGGGCAAGGGCGGAATCACCGGCTTCCTGAGGTGGCCTGAGGGTCTGTGTTTGGTGCTGATGACATGTGCCTACTGTTCCAATGTCATATAAACACAAACATATGTCATATATACACATTTTATACATATATGTGCCTCCCCCCGCCCCCATGCACACACACACTCCTTATAGCGCTCAACTGAAAGGGCCCAGAAGGAATGACACGTCAGCCATGGTGAGAACACCCACTAGTTAGAAGTTGGTTTCTAAATACTATTCCCTACTAAAAGGAACTCAGGCTCCTAGGAGAAATGGCTAATTCCAAACGTCTGGTGAACCCAGAACATCTTATTGTGCTGGAAGGTAAGAAAGTGTTCAAGAAATGATGTGACAGAACAAAAGGACACAGAAGCCAGCTTAAAGGGGCTCCCACAGCCAAATCCGGGACAATCTGAGCATGAATATGAAAAGCGACTACGAATGATTAACTCCAAAAGTGGTGGTGGGGAGGGAAGGGCAGAATTTCTTTATGGAAAAATGCCAATTAGAAAATCACAATTTGTAAACCCCAATGTCAAAAGGGATTCAGGCCATAATCATCAAGGATGCTCAAAGAACTGAGTGAAAAGATTTTTAGGCAACTGGATATGTACCTGGTCTTACCCTATTACCCCAACAAATTAGATTGCCAACAAATTAAAGGGGGAAAGGTACCTCTGGTAAAAAAGAAATCGGATCGGTACCACATTGACCAAGAGCTCAGACTCAGCATCACCCAATAGAGTGGTAATCTGGGTGTGTGCATTCTCCAGACGTACACAATGAGAAGTACTCAATAGGCCCCAGGTGGTAATCAACTGCTGACCCTGAGTCTAAGCATAAGAAAACAATCAGACCAAGAATGGAGGTCCTTCTACAAGACAAGTGACTTGGACTCTTCCCCTCCAAAAAGTCAATGTGAGGAAAGACAAAAGAATAAATGTAGGAAATATAGTCTAGATTAATGAAGACTAAAGTGATAATTCAGATGAAACAGTGAATCCATGCAATGGAATATTATTTGCCTATAAAAAAAAAGAATGAAGGGCTGATACCTGCTACAACATTAATGGACCTTGAAACAGTATGCTAAGTGAAAGAAGACAGACACAAAAGACCACATATGGTATGATTCCATTATGTGAAATGTCCAGAACAGGCAAACCTATAGAGACAGAAAGTAGATTAGTGGTTGCCTAGGGCTGAGGGGGATTCTTTGTGGGGTGATGAAAATATCATATAAAATTGATTGTGATGATGGCTGCACAACTTTGTGACTATATTAAACACCACTGCATTGTACACTTTCAATGGGTGAAGTATGTGTTATGTGAATTATATCTCAACAAAGATGTTTAAAAAGGAGAGAAAGAAAAACTAAAGAGATAGAGCAACCAAGTATCCGTGTGTGAAACTTGAATGGATCCTGGATTGGGGAGAAAAGCAGCTATAAAAGACATCTTGAGGACAATTGGGGAGTTTGAATATGGATTATATACATTACATGATATTACTGAATTAATGTTTTCAAAGTGTGCTAATGGTATTGTGGTTATATCTTCCCCTTTAAAGATACATTAGAAAATATTTACAGTTAAAATAGATCAGGAATTTGCTTTAAAATAATCCAGTGGGGGATGGAGGGGATGGGAATATAAATGAAACAAGACTGGTTGAATAACTGTAGTTAAATGGTTGATCCATGGTCCTTTATTATAGCATTCTTTCCACTTTTATAAATGTTTGCAAATGTCCATAATAAAAAAATTTTTTTTCTTTTTAATTTCCTTTGCTTATGATTCTAAAAAGTTTTCCTCCTTCCTTTTTTTTAAATCTCTCTCCAGCCTGGTTTCCTAACCTCACCTGGGCCACTCTGCTGTCACTGTGAGATGAGGACAGACAGATGGAGGGTGGTGATGGTACATGAGACAGTGGTTGGTAGACTGCAGTGAGAGAAAGTGGGGCAGGGCCATTCACGGCTGGTTCAGCAAGTCCTCCTCCCTCTGTCTCTTTGCCCTGTGAATAGTCTGGGTCCCACCCCCTCGGCAGGTGGGATCCAGTATGAAACCTCTCAATGGCTTCCTAGTACTATTAGGACGAAATCCAAGCTCCTTAAAATGGACCTATCCACACACTTCCAGCCTCATTTTTCATCCACCCTCACTACACCGCTAATTTAGTAAACCACAGCCCCGCTCGGGCCTCTGTGGGTTCTTTGCGATCACTGCCGCTTTCCTTCCTGCTTCCGCCTCCAGGCGTCTACGTGCGCTGTTCCCTTCACCTGGAATCCTGTTTCTCCCACCTGTTTGCCAAGCTAAACCCTTGCTCATTTTTCCAGTCTTAGCTTAAGTATGTTTTTCTAAGAGAGTATGTCCTTGACATTCCCATTACGACTCACCAGGACCCAGATAGGTCCTTGTAGCGCGCCCTTCCTCCAGCCCTTATCAATGCTGAAATAAGATAATCATTTATCCCATGTCTTTCTCTAGTTCTAGCTATAAACCTCTATTACGGCAGGAGCTATATCTTTCTGTGACTCAGTGCCTGGCAAAGGAGGTGCTCAATAGAACATGTTACTGAATTGGAGTGGGGGTGGGGGGAGGGAGAAAGAGGGGCATGAAGTGAATGAGCTCTCAGAATTTCAGGTCTTTCTCTACCTCAAACTCCATTCTCTGGTGGGTCTCTTAAGTTTCCCCTTTTCCCTCCCTTATGTCTTCTGGGGGAGAAGTTCAAGGGAAGTCAGAACAATTGAAAGGCGGTCACAGAAATTCTTGGACACTGGTGGGCAGGTCCCTTGCCCTCCCTATACTCGCTCAGGGATCAGAAAGGGACCCTAGCACCACAGCCCCAGACAGGCAGGCATGATTCTACAAAGGCCAGCAAGATTGATCTGCCTTTGATCCTCCTATCTCCCCATCAGGCAGGCCCCATTTATCTAGTCCCCAGGCAGCCTGAAGAGGGCTGCAGACTTGAAAACCTCCACTGGGTGGCACCAGATCATCACCACCTGTTTCCAGCAGGGAAGCTTTCCCAGGACTGGGAAAAGGAGAGGCAGGCTCTCCAGGGGCTGACACCAAGCCTTGACCGGTGACAGTGGGGACACAAATCCTGGTTTCCATACAGATTAGGTATACTCCCCATCCTCACCCCCACCCCAACATTCTAATTTTCCTGATTCCCTTGTTCAAGGAGGGGCAGCTACCAAGTAGCAGAAAAAGAACACAACAGGGATTTGAACAGTTTCTTACCACCACCCCACCCTGCATCTCAAATGTCCATGTGTTCATTTGCTCATTCATTCCTTCTTCCAATAGTAAGTAATAAGTGTTACTAATTATAACTGACAGGCTAGGATAGCATGAGTAAATACCGCACAGACTAAAGAGAGCTGCATAATATTTCGGGGATCATCTGCTGGTAGAATTCTCTGTAAATATCAAACCTTCTTATCCTATTTCCGTGACTGGCCTCTAGCACCTTCGTGGACAGCCAGCTTCATAGGGTCACCAACCCTGTCACAACCTATGAGAATAACATTCTACCTTATAGTTCTGGGAACCTGCCAACAAGTGTATATTTGCTCTTTTCATTTACTACATTATCTATTTTTGTTACTTTGATGACACCTCAACTCTCAACATTATCATCCAAAAACAAATAACTCTACCTGTCCTGAGGCCGTCACTGCTTGCCCAGGCCTGGGAGCTGACCTGCCCCGCAGCCCCAATATCAGTACCTGGCTTCGAACTATTTTTATTTTTAAATAATGCTCACTACATGTATCTGTTTTCTATAAAAGTAAAATTTATTCATTTTAGGAAATTTGAAAAATATTGAAAAGTATAAAAAATATAAAAATTACCTTAGACCAAGGTTTCTTAACCTCAGCACCATTTACCTTTACAAACTGGATAACTCTTTGGTGATTGGAGCTGTTCCATGCATTGTGGGACAGTTAGTAATATCCCTAGACTTTACTCATTAGAAGCCAGCAGTAACCACCCCCACTACCCCCCCACCGCCCTGTTATGATAACCAAAATATCCCCAAACATTGCCAAATGTCCCTTATTGGAGATCATAGTCTCAGATGCAGACTGAACCACCATCAATATCCTGGCTTATTTTCCTTCCAGTCATCTGTCTTCATATATTATAGATTTCCTCCTCCTAAATAAGACTGACTGTATATGCAGTCTATGTTCTGCTTTCCCACTCGATATTATGTTTCCAGCATTTTCCTAAATCATTACCTTTTCTTCAGAAAAATGCAGTTTATGGCTGCATAATATCATTGGCTGGCTGGATGTTCAGTGCCATAATACATTTTACCCATCCCCTGTTGCTGGACAGTTAGGCTGGGTCCAATGTTGTAATGCTGTAAATATTGCTTGAGTAAACAGCTTCACACATAAATCAGAATCCTTGAGTGGCAAGAACAGATGTTGGACGGGAGAGTCCTGGGTCAAAAGCTATGGCACACTCTGTCAAGTGGCTCTGAGAAGGTTCTATCAAAATACATTTTGTTTTAAGTGGTTGAGCAGCATTTTGGGGTGGGGAGAGCCATGTTCTATTAGGGAAGGAAGGAAAAATGATGGGTGGGGAGCGGGGCAGTGCTACTAATACTGTTCCTGATGATATCCAGGGCACCACCAGCTTTTTCAGTTGTTGATAAACCACGGCAGAACTTAGACTGATGTCTTCAGAAAACGTTCTGTAGCCAGGTGGTAAATACGTTTCATTTCAAACAGACTGACAGAGGCTATGTTTGGGAGGCTGCCTGGTGGCTCAGCGGGAAACACACAAGACCAAGGCTATGATGTGTGCTGTGAGCTGGGGAGAGAGGGGACACACCCACATGCTGTGCACCATCAACTGTACCTACATCCTCACTACCCAAGGCACATTCTCTAAACAGCAGCGTCACCCAAGTGCTGGTTGGAAACAGAACTTTGGCTCCTCCTGAATCAGAATCTGCACTCTAGCAAGAGGCTCAGGTGATTCTTCAGTCCATTCAAATATAAGAAGTCTTGGCCCACATGGATGTCCAAATTCTTTCCCAGAGTTTCAACTGAACTGAAGCTGAGCCCAGTGCTCAGCTTACTAAGACAACAACTTAATTATGTTTCTGGAAATTAGCACTCTTGCCTGTATTAGAGCTAAGTGTCACATTTTAGCCAACTGCAGTAACAGACCCCAAGGTCTTTCTTTCAGTGCCTGGCACATACTACCCACTGTTGTTGATAACAAGCAGCTGTTAGCAGCAGCAGCAGCAGTAGCAGCAGCACTGTTGGGGCCTGGCATTTTAATTCCTGAAAAAGGTTGGTGGAGTTTGGAGGCTTCACTGAAAACATCTTGATAATTTATGGGCAGACTAAATAAGACTAGTCCTCAGTTCCTTAGATCCAGCTTAATGCAACTGAGAACCATGGGGCGTGGCATCAAGGCCCAGTCTGAGCAATTATGTCACCCTGTGTGAGTCACTTAACCAGTCTGCGCCGCAGCGACCCCATCTGTAACATGGGAATGCTTGGAACACCTACCTCATGCATTTGCACAAGTGTCAACTGAGATGATGAATGCAAAAGCAGTTTGGGAATCTTAAAATATACTCTCATTTCTTTCCATCCCATTACTGTCTCTATGCTAGATTATTACAACATTTTATAAAATTCCATTCTCAGTGAAGTCTAAGGGTGAAAAGGAAAATGGCCTGACCTCCTCCATATTCTTAGAGTCTCCGGAAACCTAGACTCTGTGTATCAGGAATCCAGACAATAGAATGGAGCCCTTCACACTAACAACAGTTATAATCCCATCACCTCTCCCCACTCAAAACCACTGTCAACTTCTAGAGAAAACCAAACAAGCCACAACGGCCCACTCTCCCCCAATCACAGTACGCTGGAATGACCCAGATAGACCAACCACTTTCTACTTAGGGCAGAAGTGGACTGTCGGCACCTGGACCCCCATGATGCACCCATCTTAATGACACCTCCCTGGGCTTACCTAAACACCTACCCCTCCCTGCTGTAACAGAACCCCTTACCTGGGGATCGCCGGTGGATTTTCGGACACTCATGTGGGCAGTCTCAGGAGGGTGCGCTGGGATCCCTGATGCGTGGTATCCATTCACTGCGGGTACAGAAACACTGCTCAGATGCTGGACTGGCCACAGATGGGCACCTCTGACGTACTGTGATTGTGGCCCCTTCTCCCACCTCATTGCCTGGTTCTGAGAGGTCTTACACAGCTAGGACCATCTCTCAGGATCTTACCATTATTTGCAGAGCTTGAAATGGGTTGAGAGCCTCTCTGTAATTCCTAGCACTCAATTACTGAACTTTGGAGGGAACGAGTTTCTTTTAGAACCAGAGAGGAAAAGGAATGTGCTTATAGGGGGTAAGGACATGACAGCCCAATGGCCATCACCGAAAGTGCCTCATCAGCTTTGGTCACTGGTGCTGATCACGGGTCTAATCTCTCTCTCTCTCTCTGGAGGAGTCCCCGTCAGCACCTGCCTGCAATTCCCCTGACAAACTTCTCTCTGAGGACCTTTCCACCCTCACCCTCACCCTCACGGCAGTGTATTATGGGTGAATGGAAAGAGGACTGTGTTTACTGGTTTTCCATGACATCTGGCTTGGCCAATTAATAGCCAGGTGATCATATGACATCCTTCTTGAGTTCATTTTCCCAAAATTAAAAAAAACAAAAAACAAAAAAACGAAAAAACAAGGTTCTAAAAATCTACCTCTATGACATTCACTCATACTCCCAATATGAGCTGATAGACCTGCTCTCCAAGGAAGGGCAGGGGGAAGGGGGAGTTGGGGAGCCCTGGTTTATAGCATTTGCCTATTTCTGTGGCATAAATACTTCCATTACAGTCAATCTGAAGCCCAACACCACTGCGTGCTCCTGACATCACAAATGCCTTAAACGTGATACAACATTCTATAAAATGCAGCCCATGCAATCTCAGTTCCCAGAGGCGCCACTGCTTTCTCACGGGTACAGTAACATGAGCTTACAGAGTGGTCTCTCCTCCAGAAGCTTCAGCTTCTATATCTGTAAAATGGGGACAATTCTACCCAGTCTCCAACCCCACTTTGTTGTTATGAGAATCAAAGGAGACGATATTTGCAAAAAGGATCTGTAAGTTAAAAAGGACTTCATGAAAAAAAGAAGGGAAGGATGGAGAGAGGGGAGGGTCACTGTTTTTGTTCCTTAAATCTAGTTGCCTTGAACCCCGAGCCTGCATGATCTCCGGAGACCAGGAAAGCATGTCTGCCTCATGCCCAGCCATGGAGGAATTACTACAACATATACACTGTGCAGGTCAGACCAGAGAAATATGCACAAACTGATGTCCAACTCACAGTTCTTGCTGAGAGAGCTCTGCAGTGTGTGGCAGGAAGCAAAGAGGAGAATGACTGAAAGTCAGTAACACCTACTCATTTGGAGTGGCAAGGGCTGGTGGCAAGGAATGGGTGATGAAGGCTGCCCCATGGAGAACCTTTTGTCATGCCGTGGGGTGACCCCCATCCTTCACTGTTTGCAGTGAAACATCCAGGGCCACCTGTGAGCAGAGTCACACTCAGTAAATTCCTGCGGGCACCTGGACTGCTCCCTGATCTGCAAGGTTGGGCCAGTGCTCTGGATGAAGGGTGGGCACAGACACACCAGTACAACAGAATACAGGGCACAGAGCTGGCCCCCCGGCCAGTGTCCTGTGGAGCAACAGATACAACTAACTCTGTGAGGCCGACTATAGTCTTGGTCTACACTCGCCCCACTCAGGCAACTGCTCAAATGCTGACACTACCCATGAGTCCCCCAGGTAAAAAGGGTGGTGGGACAGGATTCCAAGAGCTTTGGAGAATGCCATGCCAAAGTTGCGGGGGAGGGCAAGGGCAACCTGCTCCTATCGGCATACGCTGTACCAGTAAGGACATTAGACTGATGTTAAATATAACCCACCATGAAGGCATAACGTTTGAGAAATTTTACTTATCAAGCAGCATAGCACTGAAATCGGAAAAACACAAACACTGGAGAATCTAAAGAGAATAGCAGAAAATCTGAATACGCCGCTTTCAGTCTATGACCGATTAGCAGACAAAAGTAAGCATGTGGAAAATCTCGGTCGCTGATTGAACTAGATGTATGAAACATGATACTCTACAAACAAAGATAATATCTTTGGCCAAGAAGCCATGGAACATTAAAAAAAAAAAAAAAAGTTGGGCATGTTTAAGCCACAAATAAAGAATCACTAAATTGTAAAAGGCATGTATAACACAAGACACATTTGACCAGAAAGCAATAAAAGTAGACATTAATAGTAAAAGAACAAATACATAAAGTCCCCCGACCCCTACAACTCCCAAATGCTTGGAAATTTAAGAAGTGCCATCTTAAATAATCTCAGGCCAAAGAGAGATTTTAAACAATAATTACATAATATTTAGATGATAATGAGGAAGAACATATCAAAAATGGGACAAATTATATTTGAGGAAAATCTATAGCCTTAATTATTCCATTACCAAAGCCAAGGGGAAATAAAAAATAAACCAAACATTTAAGAATTCAGAAAAAAATTTCTAAAGGCAATAAAATAAACCAAAAGAAAACATAATACACACACACACACACACATACATATACATATATGTGTGTATATAAGTATATACACACATATATGTATGTATACAAACACATACACACATATGTGTACGTGTGTGTACATGTGTGTGTACGTGTGTGTGTGTGTATCTCGAGAGAAATTAATGAGTTAGGAGACAGGATAACATTAGCAACCTTGGCTGGTTCTGTGTGTGGGCGGCGGGGGGCGGGGGCAGTAGGAATCACAACAATAAAAAAGGCAGACCAGCCTGTGTAATTTGAGAGTGAAAGAGAACATGAATGCTCAGAATTGAGAATAAGAAAACATAAGTACAACCAACATAGCAGAGATTTTAAAAATGTAACAGCATATGATTTATAATTCTAAGCTAATAGATACGAAACTTTCCGTAAGGTTCAAATTATCAAAGTTGTTTCAAAGGACACTTAGAAACACCAAAATGAGTAAAAACTTTGAAAAATGGCCTCTCTCTAAAAGGCACTGGACCCAGATGGTTGTATGGGCAAGTTTATTTAAACTCTCAACAAATTCCTAGGCACGAACTGTACCATAGCATAGAAACATGTGGTTAAGTTTCCCAGTTTAACAAAGTCAACATTACCCTCATCCTAAAATCTATCAACGACAAGAAAAAACAGAACCACAATTCAGTTTGATTATGAAAATAAAATATGTAAGCTCTTACCTGAGTAGGGCTTAGTTTAGAATCAGTCGCTATCTTTGACGGTGTCGGGTCCCTGTAAACCAAGGGACCCCTTCTCACTCCCTTCACAGCACTTCAAATGTGCTCCCTCAATACACCACTCTCTTTCTTCTGCTTCCAGCATCCCCCAGGCTCACAGCCTGCCACGCTAACGGCAGCCAGAACCTGCCTAATGCAGGGGCATTTTGCCCCTAATCCACTCTCTTGTTCTCACTTCAGTTCTGGTCTGTCAGCTGTTGGCTAATTACTGCTCATGTCAAAACAATTACTGGAGAAGAAAAAATAATTTTCCATTCAACCATTTCTCCCCACACAGCAGCTCTCTTCTGACACCCTGTCTTCCTGCATTTCACTCTCGGTGCCAGACACATTCAGAAAAGTGATCAGTGGAGGTCTAAACAGTTATGGTCACCCACAAGCATTCTTAAAAATTGGCATTCCCAGTCCTCTGTGCTCCCAGCTTACCAAGGGTTAGATACAAAACAGATGAGGCCAGAAGTGGGTGCTCCTGAGGCCTCAGGCATCCAGGGAAAAATAAAATAAAATGAAATTGATCAAGGAGTACTCATAACTATAAGAAACATAATTCAGTTTGGGGATATAAGAAAAAAACGTAAAAAGCCAAATTCAGCTGTTTTTTAAGATAAGAAAAGGGAACAAAAAATTCTATCTTGTAACTTTAGTAACTTCAGATACAAATATAAACACTCATGCACTCATTTCATTTCTCTTTTTGGGAAGTTACACAGATGGGCAGAGAAAGGGCCTGGGATATGTGTATGAGAGGAGGGGACAGGTATTTGGGTCGAAAGGAGGAGAAGGAGGTCTTCGGAGGCTAGGGGAGAGGAAAACAGGAAAGCAGCAGCATAGGAAGAGCTGTAGAGAGACATCAAGCAGCAGAGAAGAGCTCTTGAAGTGACTCTGCCGCCCAGAATTCACCTTCCCAGTAGCTGAGCTTCCACCTCCCAGTTCCAATCCCCCCACAGAAAGTTCCATCTTCCAAGCCCTGCTGTCCAGGTCCCTGCTCCCTGAAGAACCCCAAAGAGTAAACTACTTTTCCAAACAAGAACATCAGCCCTGGACGCGCCCCTCCTGCCTCCTATAAGTCTGGCTGCATCTCCCCTCTCTCTGGAACAAACACAGGAACTTCTTTCCTCAATGTTAAGACAACTGGGCGCCCAGAGGCCTTGTTCCTGAAATCCTTACCCACCGCCCTTCCTCCTTTCTCCCTCCCTCCCACCACTGCGTGTTCAGTGGGTGGAATGCAATGTCTCCCTAGGTCGGTGACACACAACACTGATTCTGCAGGATGTTTATTATAATGATAAGCAGTGAAAGTCAAGCGTCCAAAGAATTTGGGACAAATGTCCCCCATTATTCAGATTTAAATTGGTTTGTTTACAGTAGGCCTTTTAAAATAATGCTGATGGGCTCTGTGGGTCTCAAACAAAGCAACAGTTTGCAGTATTCCTACGCTTATAGGGACATCAGATCTGTTTGGGGCAGAATACTCAGGAATACCATGGAACTCACTTTGAGAATCACAGCGCTGGCTGTAGGGAGGCAGGTTTTGGAAGAAGTCACGCAAACACAAGCCAGTTTTGTGCTCAGCATCCCTGAAGATATAGTCACTGCCTAGTGACTTCCCACCACCACCCTGGAAGAGCAACTTCCAGCATCACACTCAACTTCTTAGGAGTATGTAACCTCTACCCTGGTCTTTTTAGAGGAGCAGTTTTACATTTATAGCCTCCTGGTCTGGAAATAGCTAGCTGGCCA